AGAGAGAGAGAGAGAGAGACACACGCGGGCGCATATCCCTTTTGTTTGTACGGCACGTTCGTGCCTGGCCTCCGCACGCATATCCACTGCGCGCCCCCGTGGCTTCGTATTTCATTGATTAGTATTGCCCATTAAAAGGACGCCTTTATTTCGCCACTCTTCCATTCCCTGGAATGGACAGCCCCTCGCGAGTATAACGAGTGCCCGGCGATACCGCTCTGCAAGCGTCCCATGCGTATACCTCGCTCATACTTATTACGCAAGAATAAATGTTGCGTTATTGCTATATCTTGTTCAATAATATTATAAACAAATCGCTTATCTTATAAAATCTGTAATAGACTACATTTTAGATTCCAATCTCGCTGTAAGCAATTTTATTTAGATTAAATTGAGATTTTAAATATCTTGAGCATTGAATCAGAATAAGCAATGTTTCTGTACAAATAATACGTAATTAAAAATCATTCGCATCTGAACACGACACTTGGAGATTTTTCTAACACATTGATAGCGGCTTTCTTCTTTTGACTGTAAGAAATTATATGAATTAATTGTATTAAGAAAAGAAGGAAGCCATCTCTTTCTCGCAGTGTCAAGACTAAATCGAACTATCTTAATTTAAAAAATCGATAAAATCATTAGGAAGATGTCATTTTCTTATCGTACGCATACGATTATCTGTCTATCTTTATTACCGCTTATCATATCTTAATCGTTCGCAATGTTTAATCTTAAATTTCTCAACTTCAGGTCATAAATTTATTTCTGTCGATTCTGTTCGCGATTATTCCTTCCTTCACGCTCGGTGGTTCTCTGGATACCCTCTTGCCCTTTCAGCGTTCCCGTAACCGGCCGCGCGCAATGCGTTAATTATATATCACTATTAGCGGTATTCCTGAGCGATGCCGAAGTCCCCGCGCACCAACACGGCATTGTCGCTTTAAGTGTCGTCTACATTGTTTGTTCGTCAAGTGTATACATAGAATACGTAGAATCTGATCACCCGGTATACTCGTGCCGAAAGCGCAGGCACGCGTCGCCAAAGCTGGGCACTCGCGGAGGCCGCTACATCACTGAGGACGCTCATATTATCGCTCGGGCACCCAATTGCCGGCTCGAGAGAATTCCCGAGCGGAAACGCGCACTGCTGCCGGGTGGAAGGGTATTAACCCCTCTAAACCGGTTGTCAAATCCTCTCCTTTGTGAGCGCGAGGAGGTAGTAGATCGCGACTAATCGTCGCGCAGCTCGACAATAAGCGCGCCGCGACGGATGTAATCTACGATGATTTATCGCTGACGTATTTTACTTTGATCTAATTTCTGTGCGGATCAATAATCGCACCGTTAAAGAATAGAGTCCAACGTGGCGTCCACTAGAATGCTTTATAATTGGCAATTTATTATGTATCGTGTATGTAATGATATAATTTGCAACGATATATTGCAATTAAAACAATTTGATGAGTTATTCTATCAGTAATAAAGCACGAGTCTTGCTCTGATCTTCATACAATAGATGCATGACAAAAATCTCTCGAAAAGATATATATTGTATAATCACTACTCGAGCAAAGGAAAAGATTCTCTCGAAGTGCTTACGAGGGAAATTGTGGACGGGCAATCTCGAACATCAAAGATCTATCCTTCTCGGTCTCGCTTTTTTTTCGTCGGGGAAGTAATTTTTTTCGTTGCGAGTTTCGATTTCACGAATACTCGTGGTGCAATTGCACTTGACTGCAAGCCGGCTGCAGCTGTTTGTGTGTGCGTAATGCCGGGGCCACTAAGGCGGCCCAACCCTTGTGGACTTTTGTATCGATTACCCATCGGTTGGGCGAGGTTTCGCCCCGGCGACGGGCAGCCGTAATTTTAGCGCAAATATTCTCGCGTTAATTGGAGCGATCGGCCGACGATCGGCGATTATCACGTATCGCGTACGCAAAATAATTTCACGTCAGTGTTTCACGTCGGAATATCGTTCTTCGATATTATAAATTTCTTCCGATATGTTGCACTCAGACATTAATTCTTTGCAAAAATTTCCTAATGTATTATAAAACATAGCATTGTGAGAATATAATTGATTACTAAAATTTTTTGACAATTGAGCATTGAAATAATACTATAAAAATAATTATAAATATAAGAGAGATACTCCTCTATATATTATAAATATAAGCGAGAAAAATAATTTGCAAAAGTTCTGCGACACTTCATATGGGCAAACTTTGATTATCAAAAAATGGAGAAGAGATAAATAGCGACGCATTAAATGACTGAATCCCGTTAGATCCCGACAGCGTTCATCCGCGGAGCTAATACACGATGCATTCTGACAAGCATGTCTAGACACTTCCTAAACGTAGTCAAGATTGCCCACACACGGTTTGCTCTTTCGCGAAATTATTCACGATATTTCGATTACCATAATTCGCTGGCTCGCGTACCATCAAATATTTGTGTAGATATAAGTAAGCCCCGCATAAAACGGCCACTTTACCATTCTAAATTTCGCTCGCCATCTGCAAGTCAAAGGTGTGCTCAAAGGCTTACGACGCTCGACTCCTCGGCGTGGTGCATAAAAATGCACACTGATATTTGCATTTAAGAATCGTTCTTGATACCCCTCCCCCCCCCTTAACTTCTGTACTCCCGCAGCTTTCCCCTCTCCACCCAATAACCGATGGTTACTTTCAAACATAATAACACGAGGAGGTCGATGGGATTTCTGAAAATTTCCACCCGAGTCCATCGCGTATTAAACTTTCGCAGACCGCCCGCGGGAATTTTCAAAGGGATCGCAAGTAGCGTCAATCTTTTTCGACTTCGACGACTTCCAACATTAAGTTTCGCCGTTGATGATAAGTCGCGAACTCGGAACCAGAACAGATGCAGCCTTACAAAGTGCCGTAACTCGTACAATCTTCGGCCGACTATAAGGCATTTTACACAAGTACTTATCGGGAAAACTTATCGGATGTGTGATTTAGAATCGCATTTGTGGATTTCTATGAGCCGCATAAAATTTGTAACTTCCGCTATCTGACAGTTTTTATTTTCACACAAGATGGAAAATCTGTATGTCAAATTATTTTCACGCGGGAAGACTTTATCGTCGAAATTTTTGCGAAACAGTCAGAACTAAAGGAACAAGATAACTTGAAACATATGCTCAAGTAAAATTGGAGCGCAAAGAGTTAATTGCGCTGGTACTCAGTGTGAAATATTCCGTCCGCCGAGGGTCGTTTCTTCCCCGAATAATCCACGGTGATTCGTAATTCGCGCCTAGCGAAATTTCACCGTGTTCCGTAGCGAGACACGCATGTAAATCGGGAACCGTAATACCTGGGACAGCTTACGACACCCGGTGGGCCAACCAGTTTCACTTACGCGGAACAGTGGCTGAACATCGACGTCGCCGACGTACGCCCTTACCCGAGAATATCACGAAGAGTAGCAATGTGGAATCCACGAAGAAAGGAAGGAATGCAAATGCAGCAGCGAAACACAGCTACACGGTCTCGCGTGTTAGTCTCTTTGTCTCTTTCCCTGGCGCGCGAGTAAGTTACATAAAAAATAGAATCTTCCGCATTCACCTTCTCCGAGCTTTCTTCCTTTCATTCTGTATGCCACGCTTACGAGGCAAATAGTACGTGTATTGTTGTATGTCTTGTGTGTAGACATGTACCGAGTGTCTCAGAATTATTTTCGACCAAAAATCAGAAATAACAGAGATAAACAAAATTTTCTAAATCTGTAAGAAGATTGTGTCTAATCATATTAATAATTGGCGTGGCAAAGTTTCGTTTGTTTAGGAACAAGTTTTTCCGGCGACATGTTTGATACGTTTTTGGGAATGTTCTTTACGCTCGAAGCAATTATTGTCACATAATGTGCTGTACACAAAAATATTTTTTTCATTTCGCTACTTTGCCGCTCCTTTTCAAACAAAGCTAATTTCTTTAATTATGAGAAATATGCGTTGAAAGCATGCCACAGTTCTACATTTTAACAATCCTTTCTATAATCCTTTTTAATTGTGGCCAACTTGAAAAAAAAAAATTACACGATGCGTATACATTCACGCACAAGCGCACTTAAACAGCTTAACGATCATAAGCTGCGTATATAATAATTTGGAATCGCAGGTATGATAAATAATTTAATAGACACGAGCAGGTCGGCGCACGTGACCTATTTATCGTTGCTATTACCGCGTAATCATAAGCCGCTTAATTATCCGCGTAATAGTGGTAGTTTTGGTAGCGGTAATAGTAACGGTACTAATAATAGTTATGGCGATAATGATTTTAACGATAACGAATTTAATTAACGTGAACACGAGAATACCTTATGTAGTGATGCGTCTCTTCGTTATCGCATTGACTCGCGTCTCAATCATCCGTTTCCGAAAATTTGCATTTGCTCGAATACAAAATCGCTTTGCGAATTTAACGCCATAACGATATAAATGATGTTTTTTTTCTTTTCCACTTTTTATTGCAGTGACAAAGGGAAAAATTTTAAATCTCACATCGTGACAAAATGATGCGATTAAGTATTATGCATCCTAAAAGCGACAGCTACCATTGCCGACTCGCGCCATTATTTTCCTCATCGGAAATCTCATAATCCGCGCCAATAATCCTCTTTATACGCAACGCGTAAACTTGAGACGCGCAATTTGCTGGACAAAAAGTGATGCGTAGAGGAGCCGCGCGAAATGCCGCGTTTCTTCAGAATGTTTTTTCATTTCCCGAGAGTCGCGTAGCGACGACCTCGTCATTAACGCGCAAACCTTCGGCATTAACACTCCTTGCTAATGACAGTAAGCGTGCATGCGCGCCGCCAGTGGCAGTGGCAGCGGTGTGGTGCGGCGCGACGCGGCACGACGCGACGTGCAACCGCCGCCAGTGCAGATGCATTCGCTGCAAGTGGGCTGCCCGGCAGGCCGCCACGGTAAGCCGATTATCCACCTAAATACGAAGCCAGAGCGATGCATGTGGCTTAAATTGATGTTGTTTCTTCCTCTCCTTAAGCTTTCTCTCCGCGGCCCACACCCCACCTCGCCCCGCCGCGAACTTTTTTCCGCTCTCGTCCCCGAGGTATTATTATACGCCTCGATGGAAAGGTTCCAACATTTTTTCCGAACGTTCGCTCCTTAACGCTAATGCCGAGACATTAGTTACTAGCAGTATGCATTTTCCTACGGTTTCGTCCGCCGAAGCAGAAAAACATCCGTTAGTGATATTAAGCTCCGGACAAACTTTAAATAATAAATAACACGCTCGGATTATATGTATAGTAAATATTCACTAATTGAAATACTATAAAACAGAAAACTCCTAGCTGTTGTTAAATAATACAAAGTTTCTGAATGTAAAATCAACCGTACATCATAAAATGTAATTTAGACCAGTAAACAGCTGCTGAACAGATATTATTTTGTTTTAAGACATTTCATTTAACAATATTCCGCTGTATATCTCTCTCTATATATATGTAATCTCTTCCCTATCGTTAAAAAATACGTTTTTTATGATAAATTACTTACCATATTGTTGCTCTGTTGTCGCCCGATGCCTCCTAGGCCTCCTAGGCCTCCTCTCAGTGGTTCTTCGAGACACTCACACGCGTTCGCGGTGCACGCAATGCTCGCGCGCACGTACCCGAATGCAAAAATCGCGCGACAATTTAAACGGCACTCCCGATATTAATGACACTTCTGACGCGCACTTTGTTGTATTACGACGAAACGAATATATTAGCACTGATTACACGCGCACCAAGTTGGTCTGTAAAATATAAATACATAACATTACAATGACATCTGAAACAATATTGTAGTTATATCTACTATATTTTCTGATCACCAATGTAATATTAATAAAATTTAATGCGCCGAAATGGACATTGCCATCGTCTCGGTCGATATATGATATCAAACTCTAATCCTGATCGTGTACCATCAATATTATTAAATTTTGTTTGTATTTTTGAATGCGCGCAGCTTTTATACTCGCATATATGTCCCGGAATATCCATCTCAATATACTAATAACCAGTCTTTCTCTTTTTCTCTCGCAGTTCTTCATTCATCGATCATCCATTATCGCATTTTGTATTCGCATACTCGCACACCTTCGTGAAATATACACACGCTTCCGAGTTTGCGGAACAACATGAGATTTCTCGATGGCGCATACGCGAGCGGGCGCAGATTGTATACGGCCAACCATGTGCGGCTAATTACTTTACGCGATGGTCTAAAAAACGGGCGAAAAAGGGAGCTAAATGAAAGAGTAGCGAGCAAAATAACCGAATTCGCGCTCGTCGCGAGAGGTACGCTGCTTCAAGGCGGCTTTTTCAACCACGTGAAAAAAATCACGCCCGTGTGTGCCCGTCTCGTTTTGATACCGTGGGTTACGCTAACCCAAGGCAAGGACGCATATTATTTTTTTTCTTTCGCGCGTGCAGTTCAATGTGACCGCGCGTCATTGCTAGTTATCTTAATAAATAATTACTCGGGAAGAATGCGCGTTATTACGAGTTAATTTCATGATTAATTATGCATGCCGTATTATATGTATTTTCTAAATCCGATGATTAAAGTTTCTTGAGAATTTTTTACTTAATTCCTGTATAATTCATATATTAAACAATCCTACGGAGAGTGCGTTAAACAATGCGGTAAAAAAAATGTGGAGATCAATAAATTGCTTTCGTCATCGTGAAATTTGGAATGTGTAATGATTGACAAGCTCCAGAATCTACGATTTCGTCGCGATTCGACGGCGCACGAGGTACAATAATGACACGACGAGGAGATGAGTTACAAGATACGTTGGAAACAACTTTCGACAAAAAGCGGCTTTTACGAGAGCACGTTGATTTATCGTCTCGGCAACCACGAGCAGTTTAAAAGCGACGAGAAAAACTTCCGTACGGCATGTACGGCGTCATTCTCGGGTTCCGTCTAATCGAAATCTAATCTGACGCCGGACGAACAATATAAGACCTCTTCGGCTCATCGAACATATTGCAACCTCACGCTTCGCCAATGCTGCGCGGCTGGTACTTCGGGAACAACGCGGAAGGATTCGATGGATTGCTCGGCAGGATGATTAGAAAGTTTCATACGAATCCACAAAGCTTTCAAAGAAGAGAAAAAATATATTTTTCCATAAAGTATAAAAAAAATATTTACATTACTGAAGAAAAATAAAAGAAATATTTATCATTGTTAACCAGATTTGTCAAAAGTAAATCGGGACGTAAAAATGAAACATGAACATTGATAAAATCTGTAACTGTAAAGAGTATAATGGGTTAAACAAAAATACGGAAGAATAAGAAAGGAAGAAAATATTTGTAATGTTCTCTCGGCGATGCCTCATCCAAATGTTTTAGATGTGCGAGGAAATAGTTATCCAGTTTCTCGCAAAATTCTAACGTTACATAAACGAAAATCATGGAATTCGATACATTTCTTGCTCGCACTTTGATACACTTTGATATCTCGATGTTAGCAAAAAGAGAAAAGCGGAGAGAACAAATGACGGATTGCGATGAAAAGTTGGCCGATGCGATGAGCAAGAATTTACAGCATCCAACGATGCGTCTGACAGAAGACGAAGAAGGAGGAGGAGGAGGAGGAGGAGGAGGAGGAGGAGGAGGAGGAGGAGGAGGAGGAGGAGGAAGGAGGAGGAGGAGGAGGAGGAGGAGGAGGAGGAGGAGGAGGAGGAGGAGGAGGAGGAGGAGGAGGAGGAGGAGGAGGAGGAGGAGGAGGAGGAGGAGGAGGAGGAGGAGAGGAGGAGGAGAGAGAGAGAGAGAGAGAGAGAGAGAGAGAGAGAGAGGGAGGGAAGGGAGAAAGAGACTGGGCAAAAGAGATATAGAAGGTAGTAATTCCTTCTCTGCATCATATTTTGGGCGAAAATATTTATGGATATTCAATTCTCGTTTCATAGCGGCGGGGCAATAGGATTGTTTTACAAATGTACGAGATTTGCCAATTGATCTCGCAAAGTATTGTATATTGCTCGCTAAGTTGTAGTTCTTTTTAAAGAAAATTTGTATGCGTAATACAGTGTGCTTTTATATCTTGATGTTTTTCGCCGCACTTTGTCGGCCGCTGTGTTTTGTGCTTTTCCAGTATTTTCCGGAATTTTCGCGTTTCTCGCGAGCAAAAACTCGATTTCGCGACTTGTTACCTTGACCCGTATCCTGTATTTTGTGTCACAAACGTTGTTCCTCTCTTGATAACCGAGCCATGTCCGCGCGGACTCGTTGCGCCATTTGACGC